AAAAAAGTGACAAACCCCCTCCCACCACTTTTCATCCAAACATGTAGTCTACATGCAATTATAAAAAATAAAGCTAGTTAACTCAGGTAACAACATGATAATTAAAAGACATTTCCATAAGGGGTACCCTAATCCGTTCCCAGACAGCATTATCGCAATTAAAGGCAACCACAGACGTATTCTTTCTCAAACATACGGTAATGACATCAAGGCAGACTTGCTAGGTGCTTCGAGAAAATTGTTAGTTATAGAGTGTTAGGAAGCGCTGATTTTTAAATTTTTATTTAAACAGCTGTCCTTTCGGGTGTATACATGTAGTTAATGTATTTTTTAGTAGAAGTTTTACGCCGCTCGTAACGGCATAAGGTCATATGAGTGCCAGAAGATCAGAGGTGTTACAAGAGAGTAACAAACATAAAAAAGAAAAAGGGGAGATAAGGACCATAGATATTTGATAGGAAAGATACTACAGACAGTGCAATGGAAAAATCTGTGTTGGGTAAACTTCAGACAGTAGAAAGTGTAACGCTTCCTTACCTTCTTTCCTTGTTATTTCTTCTCCTCTTGTAAAAGAAGATGGCAAAGAGAGTGATGAGGATGATGGGAATGATGACTCCCATGCACACCAGAACGACAAACAGCGTCTCGTCTTTGATGGGCATCTTGTGGAAGAAGTCCAGATTGTCCTGGGAGTGCCCACTGTCTCCAGCTGCAAGCAGAACAAAGAAAAAAGTTTTGATCAGACCAAAGATGAATCGGTGATAAAATAAATAAATAAAAATATATTACACTTTTATTGATCCTAGAAGGGCAATTTGGTTTACAATGGCAAACATACATACATACATACATAGTTATGATACAAACATACATAAATACATGCACAAATACATACATAAATACAAATATGTAACCAGTACAGAACAATTTACAACCATGCCATTGCCAGTCGCCACTGTGCAGCGCCCTGATAAGTGAATCATTCTGCGTTTTTCACATTCAGCTTTCAATTTCAAGTGAACGATCTTGTAATTTCACTGTCTGCATTCTTTGAGATTTTGAAGAAGAGCCTTACGATGAGGTTAGAAAAAAAAACCCCAAACAACTTTACGATGGAAAATTACGCAGTGCAGACATAACCGAAGCATGTAAAAAGTGGTAAAATCTGAAAGGAAACCAACAAATTTTTTTCAGATTCAGAGATTTATGCACTTACAAAATCAAGAGTGCTGACACAACTAAAACAGTGTAGAAAACAAAAAAAGCTTTTCTACATCTTCACATCCTCTTCCAACTGTCAAAAATAGTCTCTTAATTAACAACTCTCTGTTTTATAATTTTCCTGCAGTAGCTATCAAGGTCAGAGACTTCTTTTCTTTCTTTGATCTTAAATGTTATTATCAGTTCAAGATGAGAGAACTATTATTATTGTTTACAACTAACACACAAAAAACCCTGCCACATAGGTACGACTTCAGTATCTTTAATCTCATTTAGTGTCATTGTCATTGTCAATCTCCTAGGCATACACTTTTATCATCAATGCCTGTCACCCCTGGCAGGATATAGGCCACATACAAGCTCCTTCCAGGTATCTCTGTCCTGAGCCATCCTTCAAAGCTTGTTCCAAGTGAGCTTCATTTCTCTCATGTCCCTTTCCACGCATCTCCTCCATGTTTCCCATGGCCTACCCCTGCCTCGTGCTCCCTGTGGGTTCCACTGCAGTGATTGTCTTGTGATGTTTCCGCTGGGCTTTCTTAAGGAGTGTCCCATCCATCGCCACTTTCTTAGTCCTATTTCTACTTCTATTTCTACACACTTTTATAGTGGTTGCAAAACTTTGTGAATTTCAAAAAGCTTCATTTTTACCCACAGCAGGTCCCAGTAAGCTTTCCCCCCAAAGCACCCCCCCCCCCCCATCCAAATTACGTTAGTTACAAAACAAATATATCAGACACCATATGAACGGCAAGCTTAGCTTTACTACAAGAGTATTACAGCATTTGCAAGACAAGTAAATATTGAATATTAGATGAAGTCCTATTGGAGAGTAACAAATACAGAAAAAGCGGCAAGAAAAGGTTGATAGATGTTTGATAGGAAACAAGGAGCAAACCACACCAGATCACCCACTAAACGCTCACTGTGAATGGCTGCAGTGGCTTTTGGACAAATATTTCAGTTATATATCCAAAGAGCCCTCCCCCTCCCCCCACCAACAAAACAACAAAAAAACAAACAACTGAAACAAAACAACAAAAAAAACAACAACCAAACACCCCCCCCCCCCAAAAAAAAAAAAAATTTAAAGCAAAAGCCATCATGACATCTACTTTTTAAAAACAGAACAAAAGGACAAAGGTTGTTTTGTACTTGGATTGATGTAAAGTGCCTAGAGCTGTGTGTACATGGGAGTAGGGGCGATAAAAGTGATATTATATACACATTATTATTAATATAATAATAATAATAATTATCATTATTAAGAAGAACAAACCTGACTCTAAGAACGCTGTGTTGAAAGCATTCACTTCAATGTCAGAGTCCAGCTCTCTCACCAGATCCTCCCTGAACGTGGAGTTCTTCGTCATGTTCACATCCTGCATAGACTCATCCACCACCAGTTCCACATCATGGTGAATCTCTGCAGAATTCTGGAGCCAAAAAAAAAAGGAAAAAAGATCAAACAAGGAATGGGTTTTTCTTTTGTGTCGAGTTTTATAGCAGCACAAAAACAAAGATAAAAGAATAACAATGAAATGAAAAAACAAAAGAACACCCCCCCCCCCTCCAGAAAATATAAAAATTCATTTAACTCTTTAAGCCCTGAGTTTTTTCCTCCATTTCGCAGAGTTTTTTTCTACAGTCACCTAGAACTAGAGCATTATGTCTCATTATAACCCCAAAAGCTTGCCACCAACTTCTAAATTGCAGAAACAAAAGGCTTAGTGATTACTAAAAAACTTGGTTCGGGAACAGCTCCGAAAAACAAGCAAAAACTATCACTAAATTAAACGAAACAGTTGTCTCTAGTACTGGACGCTGAGCGTCCGATGGGGTTCAAAGAGTTAATATACATGCATACACTCAATGTGCTCCTCTACGGCTGCGAAACTTAGAAGACAACAAATACAGTGCTGAATAAAGTCCAGACTTTCATCAACAGATGTATGAGGAGTATCCTAAGAATTAAGTGGCAGGATAGAATAAGAAATGAAGAGCTACGGGAAAGGACAGGACAAAAGGATATAGAAGTAGAAATAGGACTAAGAAAGTGGCGTTGGATGGGACACACCTTCAGAAAGCCCAGCGGAAACATCACAAGACAGTCGCTGCAGTGGAACCCACAGGGAGCACAAGGCAGGGGTAGGCCAGGAGAGACATGGAGGAGAAGTGTGGAAAGGGACATGAGAGAGATGAAGCTCACTTGGAACGAGCTAGGAAGGATGGCCCAGGACAGAGATAAATGGAAGGAGCTTGTATGTGGCAAAAACTAGGGGGTGAAAGGCACTGATGATACACTCACATTGACGTTGGGCTGGTACAAAACTTTGGCCAGTCTCTCTTGAAGATGCTCCTGCAGTCGCCTCCTGAAGCCTCCCATGAGCTTGGTGGCGGAGCTGAGGTGGTAGCTGGCCTTGGACACGGACTGCGACACGATGCTGTTCACATTGCCCTGGATCAGGCTCCAGAGGGAACGGTGGGGCGAAGAGTGGCCCGTGAAGTAGTGGACCGCGCCTGTCATGTTCCCCACATGGGCAAGAAGGTCGGGAGGGGCTGGCATGGTTTTATATGTATATATATGAGATTTTCAAACCTGTGTTTAGAGAAGAAAAGAACAACATTATTTCCGAGTGAAATGGGTCTTGAAAAAAAAAAGATTTGATTTTAGCAACAAAATCACCTGTCAGAAATTTTCGTGCACTAGTTAATTTATTTTTCTCTTACCATTCATTAGCTAACTACAAAAAATTTAGACAATAAAATTTTCCAAAAACATCAGACTTGCACAAATCACTGTCACAGAGTCTTTAACCCTATCTGTACGTCTTGTTTTACTATCGTATCCATACGACGTTTGGAACTCTGTGCCACCACTTTCCAAAGATAAAAGTTACTTGTTAATCCGATCCATACGCTTTGCATAGCAGTCTGTCAAAATGATTTTTTGAAAAATACTGAAAGTTTCAAAGGGATCTTCATACTAAAAGTATTTTAAAATGTGAAAAATACAACCCCAGGGGGGACAAAATGACCCCTGGGCATACGGATCTCCCATGATATAATAACATTCGAGTCAATGCCTGACTGGCTGTTATGATAGTTGAGTAAGACCAAGACAGAAGAAATTAATAATGATTAAATACAGAGAGGGCTACACTTGGGGATGTTTTCTTCCCAAGCTACCCCACACATCTAATTGCCTCTACTCCTCAAGACAACAATTAGAACAGACATGCAGCTATTACCGAATGGCATCATGCAGAAGAGTTAATGCTCAGATGCTCCTGGATCGCTAACAACAACAACAGAGGGCTACACTGAAGTCTATGAAAACCCCTTCTCTAGCTTTATTTGAGCCTTTCAATTGTAGTATACTGTAAGGACTCTTGGGCTAAGGTCATTTCTCCTGACTAAGAGAGTTTTTTAAATTAGGAAGTTGAACTTGAATATCAAGATGTTCCATGAAAGTGGTATTTCTAGTTTTATAATTTTAAACTGGAAGGTAACTTGATCTGGATCATAATTTACTGACTGACTATAAATTTACAGTCCACTTTTTCTATCCCAGGAAATCGGGTCGATTGGGTGACAAGTTCCAGCTGAGTGCCACTGGTTGTAGGTTGGTAGAAATATCATACTTAGCCTACCAGCAGACAGTTCACACAAACACCACCCCCCCCCTCCCCCATCAAATCGCCCTTTGAGTTTGAGGCCCATGTCCAATCATGTTAAATGATGTTGGCGATTGTTAAGATTCCCGCTTTTTGTTCCGAAGTGCGTTTTTCAGGATTAGGGTTAGTGTCAGGGTTAGGGTTAGTGTCAGGGTTAGGGTTAGTGTCAGGGTTAGGGTTAGTGTCAGGGTTAGTGTCAGGGTTAGGGTTAGTGTCAGGGTTAGGGTTAGAGTAAGGGTAAGATTCTAGATCTAGATCTAGGGACAAAAGTGAAATATGCCTGAGGCTATGAAAAACCTGCATCGGAATTAAACGCGGGTATAATAACAATGGCCATGTCCCCTGCAACCCCCCCTTTTTTTTAAAGGCAACTTCCGGTTTTGTTTGCGATTGTTTGGGTACATAAATGTATAAACGAAGTGACTGTTGCTTTGAACGTTCGGGAAAATAAACCTCAACTCTATTTCTCCGAGCGGTTTCCGTTCTCAATATTTTTTGGTTATTTGCGAGATTTAGGTGTCATCTTTCATTCTGCCATTCTGTGAGGACTGGGAAAAAGCATTTTTTGTATCGAATTCAATTTCTAGAGTAGAGCTAGAGATTTTTAAATGTCTGAATATTCAGATACACTTCAGTTGTGGTAAAGGGCAACATTCTCGGACTATACTTCACTAGAAAATGACTTCAAAAGGTACTGCCAGAAAACAAGACTGATCGACCTTGGCAGTAACTTATTTTGCATTTAGTCACCAAGCAAAAACTAAAATCCTTCATGTAAAAAAAAAATTCCCTCTACACTCCCCCCCTCCCCCACGCCCTGTTCACACCTTACACACACACAGACACAGACATAAATACACACACACACACCTGAAGGCACACTCACACACACACGACTCAGACACGCACACACACGGGCCACTCCACTCGTAATTATTATCAACAAATCTCGAGAATGGAAATTGTTCGCAGAAATAGAGTTCAAGTTTATTTTGCCGAACGTTCGCAGACTGAGAAATAGAGCCGGCCAGTATAAATAAAGTCTATCTATAGAGGTCTTGGTCTAGATTTCTAGATTCTAGAGATCTAGAACTAGATCTAGATTCCATATTGAGTTCTCCCGAAGAGTCCCTACTTGTGTATGAAGCAATTCATATATAATACTCTAGATTCTAGATAGACTAGGTCTAGATTCTAGATCTAGTCTAGATTCTAGATCTAGATCTCTAGATCTCAATCTAGAATCTAGAAAATCTAGATCTAGATTCTAGACTAGTCTGATCTAACAATGAAATGGTACAGTTGTCAGTAGTTGGGAAACTCACTTTGTATCTTGGAACTTGTATCTTTTATCATTACTCTCTAAACACTAGGCTAATCTAAGGGGAAGAATTCCCATCTTTGTATCAGCCTCCTAGATCTCTAGATCTAAATTAAATCGGTCAATCCTTTTGTGGGTTAAATAATCAGACACCAGTGGACTGGTCACAATCCCCACAATGAACAATGTCAGGAATGAATGATGGCGATGGTTACCACATCCAGATCAGATCAAATTCCAAAGAGAAAAGACAACAACAATAGTACACGACAACCGAGTTCAATAACATGTGTATAAGCTGAGCAGGTTAATTTTAGAAATAAACTTACCTTAATTATGTGAATGTGAAAGCTCTTTCTTCGGAGCAAAGTTGGAAGAGTACACACTTCACTTCTGGTTTTAGCTCTGGGACACTTACTTTGTTTACTTGCACATTCGCTTCCGGTTCAAGGGAGACGACTCATTATATTTTTCTCTCAGCGCCCAGGCAATCAGGGATAAACCATAAAGTAAAAGATACAGTAGTAGGCCTATCATTATAACATAGTACCACACCTCTTATAATTATATATATAGAGAGG